TCTCTCTCTCTCTCTCTCTCACACACACACACACACACACACACACACACACACACACACACATGCGCGCACACACACACATACAATCTTGGAGTTGTGTATGGCAGACAAACACATGAACAGACAAGCTACGGGTTGCGCACCCCTGCCTTCACGGTGTCTGGGCAAATACCCTTGTCAGGGTATTTGCCGGGGATTTTAAACGTCAGACGCTGTCCGACTCTTTCGTTGGATTGAAGGACCTGATGAGATTGACGTTGCCAAAAGTTTATTCAGACCTGACATATGACTAAGAGACTAAAAGTTTTCGACCTTTAGTTCAGACGCCTGTGATGTCCGAGAGTAGCAACAATAACTGGAAGTGCTTCGCTTTGTTGAGACCGCAGAGGCACGCGGACGTGGGAACGCTAAGGCTAGACCTATTCTACCTAAAATAATGTCAGTCACGCGATTCAGGATCTAAGTAGGCTAAAAAGAGGGATGCATCGGGTATAGGGTCTGTGCACGAAGGAATAGAAAGCAATTTTTTATTGTTTTCTTGGGCTGCGGGATTTGATTCCGCGCCAAGAGCCGATAGGCCGAAGCCGAGGCCTATGTGGTTGGGTGATCGGCCGAGCTGTAAACAACCGGCCAATAGTGGGGAAGGGATGAGCGGGCAGAGCCTCCTCAACCATAGCGTGACGGTCTGCTGGGTATAGAGCCCTTCATGTAGAAGAGTTGCTCCCCTTTGGTGTAAAGGAGGAGTTAGCCCGGTATGTACCGAGTCTGACTTTCATCTAGGGGATTCTAGGATCGAGTTCAGCGGTGTCTTACTGGGCTAGCTTCTTTTTGGAGTTGGTCAACCTGAAAGGGCCTTTGAGCGCGGCCGATATCGGCCTTACGATCCATGAGATCGCGAGGCTGAGATCAGCGGTGCGGAGATTAGCATGGCCCATGCGCAAGGATGCCACGCATAAATCAGGAAATGGTCCAGTCCCAGGAGGGGATTCGAACTCGGGTCTGTACTTCAACAGATCATGGGGGGGGTGCCGACGGTGTGACCAGTGAAATGGTCGTTGGCACTAAGAAACGAGGAGGGGGTAAAAATAAGGAAAAGAAAACAAAAAGAGAAAAAGAAAAGAAAAGAAGAGGAAAGGAAAAAGAAAAGAGTCACGGTCACAAATGTGCCTACGACTACGATCAGATACAGGCCAAACAGGCTTGAATGTGACTCATGACATAGGATGGGGATCTGAAGAGGTGGTAAAGGGAATTTGGCGGAAAACAACCATTTTTCCGCTGAACCTGCACTCAGTGTAGGGCTGAGTGCAGGGGAAAGGGAGAAAAAGAGGGGGGCAGTTGAGTCCAACTGCCACCCTAAGTGTGTGGCTAAGGTAAGGCTGCCTTAGTCCGTTGATCTGGCTTAGACCAACGGCCCCAGGCAAGTGACGAATTTTGCCTAGGGGCAGCTGAGGTTGTTGCTGCCCTCCTCAGCCACTACAAAGAGGCAGTTGTCCCCCAGCTGCCTCACACTTGCCTCCAGCTGCGAGTGTATGACAACACACTTGCCTCATTGCTGGAGTGTTGGAGAGGAGGCAAGAGTGTTGCAGACGGAGTTGGAGGACAGTAGTGGAATGCGGCGAGGAGGAGGAGACAACCATAGCCTGGCTGGAGTACTCTGCTTCATACGATGGCTGGCTAGTCTCTAGGGGGATTTACGGCAGCTCAGCGAGGAGCGTCCGTGAGATGCGACAGGGGGCAATGACGACCCTGCGGCATTGTGTTATGGCACTGCGTCATCGACAGCCATAACAGCAGTAATGGGGAGATGCTGTCCGAGCGATGAGGCATCGCTAGCAGCCGTTTTCCTTACGTGTTGGGGAGGTGCTGCCGGATTTGAGGCACGGTGACACTTGAATTTTCTTTTGGCAGGGAAGTGTTGCCGAATTTGCGGCATTATGACACTAAAATTTTCTTTTGGTGGGGAAGTGCTGCCGAATTTGTGGCGCGGCGGCACTTGAATTTTCTTTTGGCGGGGAAGTGCTGCCGAATTTGCGGCGTAGCGACGCTTGAATTTTCTTTTGGCGGGGAAATGTTGCCAAATTTGTGGTGCGGCGATACTTGAATTTTCTTTCGGCAGGGAAGTGCTGCCGAATTTGCGGCGCGGCGACACTTGAATTTTCTTTTAGCTGGGAAGTGCTCCCGAATTTGCCGCGCGGCGACACTTGAATTTTTTTTTGGCAAGGAAGTGCTGCTGAATTTGTGGCGCGGCGGCACTTGAATTTTCTTTTGGTGGGGAAGTGTTGCCGAATTGGTGGAGAAGCGATACTTGTTTTTTCTCTTTGGTGTGGAAATGCGGATGGATTAGCGACACGACAACAGGGAATTATGGCACGATAGCGGCGGAGTTTTTTTCTACGGCGCGACGTCTGTTATGTTTGATGAGTTTGTGCTACAAGAGTTGAAGTGTACGGCGGCGGTAACGTGACGTGGTGGCAGTTGGCACGCGATGCACTATGAAATCAGTGTGAGGAACGAATGTTGGTGGCGTAGGACCATCAGGGACCACCTAGGATTGGTTGGGACAAACGTGGAACCAGTTGGAAACAACATTCTTTTTGGGACTTGTGTGACTTGCCGCCATCGAATCTGGGACTACCTCGTGTGCTACTTGCAAGTCGGAAAAAGATTGGAACAAGTAGTTTTCTTTGGCGACAAACATATTATTTCTTGGCTTTCTTGAGTGAGCCAGAGCGCGTTCGACACCACTTCACTCAAGGTTAGTCAGTTTATTGACTCAGATTTCCCTTCACACTTGTGTGAACTCACACTTTGCTTGACCCTGTTCATTGAATATTCGTTGAAAAGGTAAAGGAAAGTCGTGCGTATCGTGCATGTGAATGAAAATATTTGACTTGGGCATGGGATTGTACTGGTTTCTCTTGAACTTTTTGTCTCTGCGTGTTGTGCAGGTAGGTAGAATGATGGTTGCAAAGGAGATTGATTATGCGTAT